TTTGTCTTCTGCTGTTGTGTGGTTTTACAGAATATTTTTTGCAATGTATTAGGACATTAAGTTTGTCCCTATTTTTTCTCTCATGATTTTCATAGCTTTCAGCTTCTATTTAGGTCTTTGATTCATCTTCAATTTGTTTATAATGTGAGATATGGGTTCTGTTTTATTTTTCTACAAATGAGTATCCGGTTTTATGAGCCCCATTTGTTAAAGAGATAATCTCTTCCTCATTTAATGAGTTTTGATACTTTCTTACACAGGCCGATAGATATACTTAATGGATTATCAGTGTTGTTCCATTTGTCTATGTGTTTGTGGTTGCCTAAGTACCAATAGCAGTTTATTTTTATTAAGTTGCTTGTGTAGTAGATTTTTTTATCTCAAGAAGCAAGAAGCCCCCTACTTTGTTCTCTTTTTAGTAGTGCTTTTGTTTCTGTGGTCCTTTTCCATTCTGAATAAAGCTTGCGATACTTCTTCCATTTCTGTGAAGCAATGGACATGTTGACATTTGGGCTGTCACTGCATTCCAGCTGTCGATCACTTTTGTAGTTGTTATACGTTCACAAGATGAAGTCTTCCCCTGCATCTCGCTGCCATTGAGTCTACTCCAATTTGTAGCGACCCTGTGGATTTCTAGGACTACAGATAATTCCTGGAGGAGAAAGAGCTTCATCTTTCTTTAGTGATATGGCTGGTGCTTTCAAACTGCTGACCTTGAAGTTAGCAACCTAACATTGGAAGCATAGTGAATTACAGATTACCCACAAGGTTAGCAGTTCAAAGCCACCAGCTGCTGTGCTGAAGAAAGACAATGCTTTCAACTCCCACAAAGAGTTACACTCTCAGAAACCCACAGGGACAGTTCTATTCTCCAGTAGGGTCACGGAGAGTCAGAATGGGCTGAAAGGCAGTGACTTTCTAAGGATGAAGATGGAGTCTTCTACTTATGTGGCCCTCTTCTGATTGCTTGTAGTAACATTTTTGTCGTTTTCTTTGTGTAGATTTGTACTTTTTCTGATTATATTCATTCCTAATTACTTCAACCCTTAGGTAGTATTTTAAATGGTATTTTTTCCTAATTTAATTTTCATTTCTCTACATTAGTTTAGTGGAATCTGGCTGATTTATGTATGTTGATCTTGCACCCTGTTAAACTGATGAATCCCTTAAGTAGTTCTAGCAACTTTCTGGTGCTTTATAGCTATAGATATGATCAGTAAGTGCTTCAAGTCTCCTTTCAGCAAGCAAAATTGTGGCATCACAGTTGTAAATGTGCTTTCCTCCAATCCTGATGCTGTGTTTTTCTTTCTATAGTCCAGTTTGTGAGACTATTTGATGAGAATATAGATCAAAAGAGTATAACGAATGGATAAAACCCTGGCACAAATATTTCCTAACATAAAACCATGCAGTATTCCTTTGTTATGTTCAAAGAATTGTCTCATGATTTATTGCAGGTTCTGTATAATATTCTGGAATCTCATTCTTTGTAATATTATCCATAGTTTTGTTATGATTCCCACAATTAAATTCCCTTTCATATTAAAACATACACAAGTAAACACCTTTCTGACATTCTCTGTTTTTCACAACATCCATCAGACATCCAAATGTCCTCCTTGATGCTATGAAACTGGTTATGCATTTCAGGCAGCTATCTGTGTGTATATTGCCATTTAAAACTCTTTCTGAAACAAAATTTTACTTACATGTGCTATTAGTGACACAGTTTGATAATTCTCACCGTCTATCCTGTCACCTGTCTTCCAAATGGGTATATATGAATCTGTTAGGCAGACTCCTGTCTTCCAAATGTCTTGACATAGACTAGTGAGTGCTTCCGGCACTCATCATTGTTCTTTATATGGACATTTCAGCTGCATATGAACAACTGGTGGGCTGCTCTATCTTGGGTTTGGTTTGGCTGATGATCCTGTGTTTCTCTATCATCTCTTCCCATACATTCAGTCAATTTGATTCTTCTGTATTCCAGTTGAGGACAGTGTTGTGTATAGTTGTTATTTATGGTGTTGGAAAGATATTTTGCAATTAATAAGTCATTGGTATTGCAAAACTCTATAATGCAATCTCCAGTTTTGCTTTTATCACTGAGACAATAGTTTTCAACTGCAAATTCTCTTCCTTTGTTTCCAACTTTTGCATTGCAATCATCAGGCATTATCAATTAATCTTGGTTGCATATTTGATTAATTTTAGACTGAAGAATTTGGTGGACTAATTCAATGCATTCATGACTAGTTTCAATAGTACAAGTCCTAGTGCTACAGTGATTACAATAGTGGTGTAGCAGTGTAGTGGGAGTCCACATGGTCAGCAATTCAAAGTCACCAGCTGCTCCCCAGGAAAGACTGGATTTCTACTCTCATAAATTGTTACAGTCTTGAGTCAGTGTTGACTGGATAGCAGTGAGAGTTTGAGTTATGTAATTTTAAATACTAATGATATTAACTGGACTTTCTTGTAATTTATGGGTATTCTCCTATAACACACAGCATTGTACTTATTGTTTTTATTAAGCATGACTGTAATGCCATTCCTCTTTAATTTTTCACTCCCAGCAGAGTAAACTATTGCCTGACTCAGAATGTCCAATACAGACAATTTCTGCAATAAAAAGGATTACCAGTTGCCTCCTAGTCAATTCTGACTCCTGGTTTGTACCTCAGATGTATCAGATTAGAACTGTACTCGATAGGGCTTTCAATCATCAGAAGTAGATTTTCTGGCCTTTCTGAGTACATATATGTACCTCCAACATTTCAGGTAGCTGCCAAACTTAAATTAACTTCACATAACATTCAAGCATAAATTCAAAGATAGTGGTCTCTTGCTTTATGATGGTGGCTGACTACACTGCTTGGAAAGTGTGTGACTTACCACACTCTCATGCACCTGGTTACTGGAAGGTCTCACTATGCCTCTTGCAAGTCTTCCATTCTAGGGCTTCAGCTTAATAATATTTCTAAGTTACCCTAATGAATCACCAAACATGTGAAAATCCAAGTGTGTCTCTTTTGTTATATGGCTGTGACAGGATTGGCTTAGTAACCTGCATTAAAGGATAGGTTTGGAGAAATCCATAAATTTTGCAGCTGTTAGGGTAGGGACTTTTTATGGAAAGAATATTTTATCAATACCAATATTGGAAGGATGTACAAGATTAGGGATTCTCAAATATTGCTTTTGTGAATTTAAAAACTCTGGGGAGAATTTTAAAATAGATCTGATAATTTCCTCCATGTACATGCTCTAAGTCCAGACATGTTTTTTCCTCCAATGTATGAGGACCTCTGAGTATGAATCAATGCTATAGGACTGCATGAGTTCACCATGACAGGAAGAGAGGTGCTCTAGAAAGGGCACTATCGGATCATGAAGGGAAAAGCAGGCATGTTCAAGCTTCAAAAAAAGCCCATGTCCTTGATCCTGGAGAGCATATATGCAAACATATGCCTTCTTCTACATATATATGCATATCTATCTATCTATGTAATCACTTTTCTATCAATTCGTTGTGCTATGGTGCCTTGTGTGTTGGTTGCTGTGAAGCTGGAGGCTATGTTACTAATATTTCAAATACCAGCAGGATCCCCTCCAAGTGGTTTCAGCAGAGCTTCCAGAACAGAACATGAAAAAGGAATAGCCTTCAAGATTTAGAATTGGGAATTCAGGAATTAGGCTTCAGAAGAATTAGCCATTAAAAATTTATGGATAGCAGCAGAACACTGTCAGATTGTGAGATTGAATGAATAACATGCACACCATGTGAGAAGTAATGCCAGGAGAAGAACTCCTTTTGCTGGAAGGTGCTCAAACTCTGACTGAATAAGATGTGCCTTCTCAAAGAAGAGTGAACCAGAGACCATAGATGGTGGAAAGCCTGCAGGAGCAAAGCCTTTGGGCCCTTCATTTGTTGATGCCCATTTAACTCAAAATGAGAAGAAATGGATGCAAACATCTATTACAAGGAAGCAGATGGACTTTGGGCCTCTACTTAAATCATACCTCAGTACAAGGACAGGTTATTCCAATAATGTGGCATTGTATGATACCTTCCTGACACTATTGCTGAAGACAAAATGGGTGCATAAGCAAATGTGGTTAAGAAAGATGATGGTGCCTGGCTATTAAACGATACAGCATCTGGGGTCATAAAGTTAAACAAGCGGCCATCTAGTAGGGAAGCAACAAAGCCCACATGGAAGAAGCACACCAACCTGTGTGATTATAAGGTGTGGACTCGAAGAGGTTTCAGAAATTCAAAAACAAGTAACTAAATTGATGTGAAGGGGCGTGGGTGTAGTGGAGACCCAAAACTCACTTGTAAAATTATTGGACAGTCCCTCTCAGAAGGCCACAAGGAAGGATTGATAAATTCAGGGTGCAGTATGGCACTGAAAAACCCACCTAACCATCTTTGAGTTCTTTAATATATTCTCCCCTTGCTATTAGGATTTTTATTTGTTTTAATCATGTTAGATGTGTGTGGTAGTTCCATAATCTGGTGTCAGTTTGGGATTGGAAATATTAAGAGTGAAGGTGTGGAGTCCAGTCTGTCAATCAGATCATAGCCTCTGTGTGGGCATAGAGTTCTCCTGAGAATTCTGGGATATCTGTTTTTTTCCTCCTTGGAGGCAGAGAGACTCTGTTCACTCCATGGAAGACACTCTACTGACAAGACTCATTTCCTGAGACATCCCTGAGGAGAAGCCACATACACCTACCCTGATGCAGCCCTAGAAGCTGGAGTAGCTTTGTTGAGGCCCCTGGCCCCTGGCAGTGATGAGATGCTTACAATGTCTCTGGATCCAAAGATTTTTTACTCACTGGCTTGTGATCCTCCTGCATTCAGCATCATTGCATGTGTTTCCAGAGTCTAAAGAGGACTTTATAGATTGGTATCAGACATATGGGCTAATATTGGACTTATGGGCTTGAACTGACTGAGTTGGGATGCTTTCTTAACGTACAATTATCCTTTATATACCTGGCAAGGGAGATACCATGATCATGAAGGTGGTTTTCCCAGGGCAAGGCTTATCCATTGTGCTCCAGATGTGCTGACCCCTGCAATTTCCCTGAATGTAGGAAACTCAACTGCATAATTTGTGGCAGTAGGTTACTGTGTTCGCACTGTCCCCTGTTAAAAAAATTCTCTCTTATGCACATATGAGTTTCTATGGATTTGTTTCTCTAGTATACCCAGACTAACACAATTTGCATTGTGTTCATTTGTATATTTAAGATTGTTTGGGACATGAAAGTCAAGATAGATAACCCTTCAGAAATAGTAATAGGAGTAATGATTCCCTGAGGGTACAGGAAGAGGAGGTGGAGAAAGGAGGAATAATGGGAACTGATTGCATTGATGACTGTATAATCCCACTCAATGGGATCGAATAACAGAATTGTATGTGAATGGATATATTGGATTGTGTAAGATATAGCCAAAAACAAACAAACCATTATTTCAGAATTAAAAAAAAAAGGGTTCCAGCTCTCATTCTGAACATCATTTTCTCTAGAAGTACTTTCATGATTCCAAAATGGAGACATTTGCTTTCCCAATATATTTTCTTATGGCCTTGTACTTCTCTTTCATCAAAGTATTCAGTTCATTTTAATTCATGTCTTTGCTTCCTTACTACATTGCAGTAATATAAAAACTCTGTATATCTTACACCTAGAATATTGGATAAAAACTTGACTGTAAAACTATGTGGATGGATAAAATTGGCTCCCTCTTATTTAAGTATTTTTGAAAAATGTTTGTGTTGAATAACATATTTCTTATATATTCTTCATGCAACTTTGAATTAAATTGTTCAATAGTCATTTATACAATTACTTATTGATCACTCACAACGTACAAGGCATCATGACCAGTGCTGAAATTTCAGGGGTGAATAAGAAAATATGTCTGATACAGCTACTTAGAATTTAGTAAGAAAGAATAAATATCTTTAAAAATTGCTGATAATATGCTTGCATTCGGTTAAGAAAGACATTAAATAAAACTGTGTTTTTATGTAGGAAACTGTTGTTGAGTGATTACTTCCTTGATAAGCAGTATGACTGAAATTAAACAGATGAATGAATCTCAGTTCCTGCTTAAAGCACACATAATCTATTAGAAGATATTGACACATATTCCTAATAAACCAATTATAGTATATAGCCTACCTATGAATTTGGAATTCACAGAACTTCTTTGTTATCTAGACCTTGAACCTAGATCTAATTTTCTGAGTGCAATCTCACCATGACATTTTATTTGAATGTAGTGGCAGAGATATAGACATCTTCAAATTAATTTTCAGTACTATTAACCAGTTTAATACTCATTAAATATTTACTTAAGAAATAGAATCAAATTATCTAAAACATGCCAATGTCTATTATGTTATGAGTGTTGCTATGAAAATATGGCTAACTTGCAATTATTGAAACTATTCCTTTCCTTGTTCCTTTTTATAGAGTGGTATATGAGTCACAATGGTCAATATACAACTCACAAGAATTATTTGGAATAACTATTTGTTCTGTAAATTAATAAAGCCATGTGATTTTTATGTTTTTAATTCTCTTTAAAACAACCACTTTATTTCCTTTCATTAATTAAAATGAATTCATTTAACCCAAAGTCAATTTGTACACACTTTCCCCAAGTTCTCTGGAGTCAACAACAGACATAATTGTTTATATTTCATTTCATTTAGAAACTTTAACTCTGCAGAGACCTTCTTCCATTAGAGCACTGCTTATTCTATTAAACTTGGTCATTGAGTATATTTACTTCACTGGTAAAGAATGTAAATTGAATGCAAGAATGTGTCAATTTATGCACTCTGAAAGTTTCTGCAGAATCCATGATCTTTCATGAAATTCTCAGAGGAACCAGGACCTAAAGGCTCAAAAGAACATGTAATCTTTATTGTTCCATTTTGAAACTTTTGAAAACACAAAACTTCAGTCAAATATTGTAATGATAGCACTAGAAGTATTTTTAATACTTTAAAAAAACATTTTCCTGCCCCAATCAGGGCCAAACTGGTCCCTTCTCTAGAAGTATGTGCCACAGCAGAAAACCCACAGGTTGGGGAGAGGCTCGGCCAGTCATGCCTACATGGAGACAAACCAAGAAGGAAAAAGAGAGAGTGAGGGTCTAAACCCCATATCTGCACACCAAGACCAGCAGACGAAGTCCCTGCATGGATCTGCTAAGGTACAGAGAGAACTGTAGGGCCAACAAGAGCTCAAAACATAATGTCCTCTCACTGTAACATCCATGACACGGGACATTACTGGGTACACACAGCGGGGAGTTAGTCCAGTCTGAATATCCCACAGCGGGTAGAACCAAGAAGGGAACATAGCAGGTCAATAATTGGAGCACAGCCAAGCAAAAAACCCAGAGGAGCCCCCAAAATATACTTGAGGCTAGGAGGGTCAGTTCCTGGAATCCCCCCAGGACCAGTGGAGAGATAGTCATAATGGTCAGCAGACAGACCTGGAATTATGTATGCTTTTTTTGTTGCTGTCTTTTTGGCTAGTTTTTATCTTTTATTTTTCCATTTTTAATCAAGCTTTTGCTTTCTTTTTGTTTGGTCTTTGTTATGGCTGACTTGCCTACTTAAATAGGATAAGCATGGGAATCAAGTTCAGGGAGAAAGCAACAGAACCAACTGCTCTCGAGGGACTTGAGTGGAGGAAAGGAATGGGTGTGGAGAGCAAACAACGTGATAGACAGGGGAACAACTAGGGAATTGAAATCAACAACTGGGAGGATGTAGAGATCCTGGGGGTGTTGGAGCAAGAGCAATCTAGCTCAGAGGAATTACTAAAAGATGGAAGAAGGGTGAGTGTGATGGTGGGGCAGTAGGAAGGTAAAAGGAAACAGAGGAATGATCTGGGAAGCAAAGCTATACATAGAGATATAAGCATAGGTGTGCACATATGTAAATAAATTAATTCATAAAAATGGCGGTATTGGCCTATGTACATATATTTATAAGGCAATACACTCAGGTGGTGGATGGATTTTGGGCATGTGCTTAATCCCTTCCTCAAGGCAAAAACACTTTGTTCTAACAAACTGGCATTCTGTGATGCTCACCCTTCCAGCACAATAGTTGAAGACAAAATGGGTGAATAAGCAAATGTGGTGAAGAAAGCAGATGGTTCCCAGCTATCAAAAGATACAGTGTATGGGTTCTTAAAGGCTTGAAGATAAATAAGTGGCCATCTAGCTGAGAAGCAACAACCCACATGGAAGAAGCACACAAGCCTGTGTGATCATGAGGTGTTGATGTGATTAGGTAACAGGCATCAGAAGACATAAAACAAACAAAACCCATATTGTTGAGAACAAGGGGATTAGAGCAGCGACCCCAAATCCATCTGTAGACAATAGGACATTCCCTCACAGAAGGGTCACAAGGAAGAGATGAGTAAACCAAGGCACAGTATAGCACCGCTAAAAAACACAATGTTCCTCTCATTCCTTGAGGCTTCCTCACACCCCACTATCATGACCCCAGTCCTGTCTTTCACTGTGGGCTAGACTGGAGCATATGCACAGATAAGATATAAGACAAGATAAGATAAGAGATAAGAGTTCAAGATACACATAATCCAGGAACAAGAATGGGAGTATCAATACCATGAGTGTAGGAGTACAGTGGGGAGTGGAGGGGAAGGAGGGGGAGCTGATTGCAATGATCAACATACACCCCCCACCCCAAGGGGGACAAACAACAGAATCCATGGGGGAAGGGAGACAGCAGTCAGTGTAAGACATGAAAATAATAATAATTTAAAATTTTTCAAGGGGTTACAAAGGGGAGGGGCGGAAAATAGAGGAACTGATACCAAGGGCTTAATAGAAAGCAAATGTTTAGAAAATAATGATGGCAACACATGTACAAATATGTTTGATACAATTGATGTATGGATTGGTATAAGAGCCACAAGAGCCCCTAATAAAATGATCTTTTAAATATATATATATATATATATATACATCATATCTTTACAAAATAAAGTCAAAAGTATCACAACATAAGCATAAAAATGAAGACATCACAATGAAACTACACACATCCTCTGAGTATCTACACTTCTGAAGTTGGTATTTCCATCTCTCTAAACCTTCCTTAAAGAATTCTACACTCTAATTTATACCATATCAAATCATAGTTTTGTCAATTTTAAAGGAGTCAACTGTTTTGTTTCAATCTTCATTGAGTTTTGGTTTTTGCTACAAAGGAATTCTGAATGGACATGGTTGTAAGGCGAGGGGGTAAGTTTCCCAAGGAAATCCTCTTAGGAGTGTCCTTTCTGCCCTCAGACAACATGCATTATTATGATGGAAACAACTTTCCTGGACTTTTACTCACAATGTGGTTTTCAATTTTCCCAAAACTTCTTCACAAGAAGCCCTAATAATCATCCTTCAAATAAATCTAACATAATTATCCCTTGCGGCTTTCTCCTCCCAGAAAGAGTAACAGTCTCAGAAACCACAGGGATATTATTAATACCCTATCCCAGAGGACTGCAATGAGTTGGAATCAATTAAATGGTAGTGGATTTGGTTAGAAATTTTGGAATCAAAATATAGTAAATAGCCCCCATAATATTTGGAATTGACCTCTTTGCTTTGAATTTACTGTTCCAATATCTAGGAGCCGAGGTTTTATCGAGACCTTTTTGACCACAGTAGTTTAAACATTGGGCTACTAACTCCAAAGTCGACAGTTCAAGCACGCCTATTGCTCCATAGAAGAAAGATGAGCCTGTCTGTTCCTGCAAAGAAAGCCCAGGGACAAGTTGTATTCTGTCCTATAGGGTTGCTATGATTGGGTGGTGATTGTGTTGACTTTTCTCAAGATCACCTACTGAGACTTAGACCCATGAATTACTGAGCAAATTTGTTTGCAGCCACCACTGATAGCAGAGGCTTATTTAAATATGTTTTGTCTGGAATAAACTGTTGCATGCATGAAATAGAACCGTAAAATCAGTCCTTTTTGACTTATCCTCCTATAACTAATTAACAGCACATACAAATTACCAGTGCTTTATTGAATCTATTAAGGTCCTGTATGGTGAAAGTAGTTAAATGTTTAATTATTAGCAAAT